AACTAAAAGTCGAATGTAGTTATAACAAGAGAAGCAAAGTCAAATAGAATTCAAGGCTGCATTAATACGGATAAAATAAATAATTTCATCACACACAATGCCTCTGCAGGGCTTCCATTGGTGTAGCTGTGTCCCTTCACAGTCGGTGCAAAATGCTTTAAAACACAAGCATAGCCTAAAGTCTTCAGCCAGTGGCAGCTTGCTCCCTGAGGAGCCACTCACTTTTACAGTATACAGTGTAATGCCAAAAGTTAATTATGTTCCGACAACTCTTTGCCACAGGAAAGGCTGCATTGCTCTCCAGAATTAGATTTACATCACTAGTATCCCATTGTTCACAAAAGGCAATGACAAAAGGGCACAAAACAACCAATTAGGCAAAGCTTGAAATCCTTTTGCTGAGACGAAGGGACGTAAATGCAAAGTGCATTTCAGCAACACAGAGAGGAATAAACCAATGAGTCCTGGGATAAATTATTCACGCTGCTAAAAAGCAGGAAAATATATTTTTACTTGCAGAGGATTATTAAGAAAATCCACTTTTTGTAAGCTTTTGTATGTTTGTATGCTCTAACATAAAAGAGAGCACAAAGGGTCGCCGTGCTGCGATGGTTGTGTTGCACCTTGATATTGCCAATGGCAAGTCTGCTGGATTACAGGAGAGACATTTGTGTCGGCTTGTTGTTCTGTTACACAAGCCCTACCACTGAGGGAGTAAAATACAAAGAAATCAATAACATCTCAAAAAAGAGAATAAAACCAATTCTCATAACAGTTATTAGAAGGGGATTTGTTGCAGTCTCATTTTTCAAGGGGTTCTGTCGAGGGTACATGATGTGCAGCAGGGTTTTTTGGGCACCATATGGCACTTGTGGATACAGCTGGGCTTTCTGCACAGAGCCACACATATAGTGAGCTGCGAGCGGTTGTGGCAGAGTCCCAGCGTTAAAAAAAAAACAACTCACCCATCTATACTTAAAACCTCCTGGCAAGCGTTAGGAGAAAGAAAGTCATGACACTAAAGTAACAAACAACAAGTGAAAACTTTGATAATGAGTGTGAACTGGAATTGCTGTGATGTTTTTTTTGTAACAACACAACAGGTCTAAGGAGAGAAAAATAAATATCGAGGGAGGGATGAGCGGAGGGAATGTGAGCTCCGGTGCCTCTGGGCTCGTGTAATGGTGCCTTGTCTCTGCTGTGTTCAGACTTAGATTGTTGTGATGGCCTGCTGAGTCTGTCTGTCTCTGTCTCCCCCGCAGGATCCCCCCTGCCAGCTGGCCTTAGTGTGCCATTAGAGTCTGTGCCCTACTCTACCACTAGTCTGAACCCAGCTTTTCTTTGGAAGGGACCTCATCCTTAAAGTATTCTCTGTAGTGTCCTCCCAAAGTCAAGCCTCTAGCAGAAGCCACCTTTATCAAAGAATGAAAAATACATTCAGGCTCCCATGATTGCAAGGCTGTCTGTGCTTTATATTCAGGCTGTGCCGATAATAGGCACATACTAACGCGACTGGCAGTGTAATAGGAGATACTATCACAGAACAGCGCCGCACACCTTATTCAGGTTTGTGTTGGCGCATTGCATGCAAATGCTTTACAGGGGGAACTTGCTCAAAGTTTGATTGTAAAAATAGGATGAGCTTCTGTTCGCTCGGTGTCTTTGAATCTGCGCAGCCATTACATCTTACCTTTGGAAGCTAAGACGATAGCTATCGACTCCAGTAGGAGAATCACACATGCATGAAAGAAAAACAATTTCTGTTCATACCTCAGATTTGTTATTACCTAGCTTTAGGCAAAGTCTCATTTTAATTGATGTATGTTCCATGGGCTTACTGAAGCGGGTGCCCACTCTCACAAGTCACTAAGGCTCGCTGGATAGATATTTCAAACACAATAACAATATAGCCTCAGTTACCATTTAAAAGCGTGTTATGAATATTCATAAATAAAGGCTGCTTGGCTTCTGATTCAATTTGGGGAGCCTTTATAAAATCCCAGATATCAGACTGAGAATCGTATTGCCTGTGCAGGGAGAAATCTAATACATATGAGCCATATTGTGGAGATACAGAATCTCTCCTCAGCCTACCCCCTTAGATATCTCTACTGCACACACATGGAGCTGAAATCCTCACAATATAATATGTGTTATGTACTGTGTGGCTCTTGGTGGCTTAGAAAATGCCATTACATTAAAGTCATTGTTAGAGCTTAGAAAAAACAAGACTAAGTGCTCAAACATAACTTCACGAATAGACCTGCAACGTAAACAACAGATGCTACAGTTTGGTAATATGAACTGTTAAGACATCAGCAAATAACCTGTGCCATATCCTACATCTTTACCCAGTGAAAGAAAAATGGGGTAGACTGACTGGTTTTTACCGAGTCATAATGAGGACGAGAGTGAGAATGGATAAAACAAAAAGCTTTGTAATATTTAGTGCGGCTGAGCTGGGACTGAGACACCGAGCTGTGATAAACACTTCCCTATGTGCAATATAGAGCTTTGTGCCAACAGCAGGCTGTCAGCAGACATTTCCGATAACTGTGAGCACCTGGAAATAAATGTACAGAGACAAAGAAAGGTATTTGAGAATGCTGTATATATATGTCTGCCTTGTACATGTTCTCAAATCAGTTATATATGTGAACATTTGCTTTAGAGGCTGAATGACGAACGCTAGAATGAGCCCAACAAAGGACTAGCTGGTAAATGTGAGATCAAATGCATAAAAAGCCAAATGTTTAGTACAGCTGATTTGATTTAGATACATTATTGTTGAGATGAATCAATGTTCAAATAACCTAAAAACAAATGAGAAAGCATCTCTTTAGAGGCAGATAATTGCTTGTCCTTTAAGAGCATTAGATTTATTTTTCTTTGAGCCACTGATTGCATTTGGACACGAGGAACATAACAGCTAACAGAACATGTTTTTTGTGCTTGCAAATAACTCATTGATTGTCATTTTAAGACAATGTCAAAAACACAAAAAATAAGATAAAAGGGTGAGACTTGGTGAAAAAGACCACACGCACACACATAATTACAGGTGTGCCTGTGGGTGCCTGTGTGTGTGTGGTAATCTTCCTTAAAATTGTTCAATTCAATACTCCTCCTTGTATCATGTATTATTCCTTTCAATGAAGCAGATTTAAACTCCATGGCCACGAGCAGGCAGCCTGATTACAGTTATTAATTTTAATAAAGGGTATTGGCCTGGGAATCGTTGGTCCTGGCCTGTGAATAGCAGGTTACGCGTGGCTAAGCCGGGCTGGCCCGCATTAGATTCAATATGTCCAAGGCCCTCTATACAAAATGCAATCTGCCTGCAATCATGAATGACACCACTGTTTACTGCTCGACAGTGCCACCACACAGTACCCAACCCCAGGTAACCTCGGACAGTGACAGGCACTGGTGGGCCGGGCAGACACAATCAACAGGCGGGGTGAAGTCTTCCAGTGATGGAGAGCCTGCAGTGTTTGTGGGACAAACTGCGATGGCTTTTCAGAGAGCATGGAGAAGGCCATCACAGATAGATCTATCCGTGATGTTCGCTCACCCAAATTAATTGGATGTCAGTCAAAGAGAAAGTGAAATGAAGGTGGGGGAGTGACTCAACCCCTTTGTGTGAGTGAAGTGGTGGGAGAGGGGCGGGTAGTTCTCCCAAATCTAACCCCTTAAACTCTCCAGAGAATAGCCTTAATCAGTGACAATGTGGGCTGGAGAAAAGATGTGGATAAATAAAGACAGATTATCCCCTTTGGCAAGAGACCAAAAAGGACGGGCTACACACATAGAGAAGTTTGATCCAAACTAAATGGCCTCCCTATCATGGGACTCAATTGGAGTTTCTGAATGAAAATAAAAGCTATATATATCTCTAATCATACTATCTGATATATTACTCATTGTCAACAAAACCAAAACCAACAATGTGCAAGTAAGTCTCTCAAAACGTTCTGACTACTTGTCTGTGCCACTGAGCCTAGAACCATGTTCTTACTGAAAATGGAAATATTTAAAAACAGGTGATAAATATATAGGGTATTTTTTATAATAAAAAGGCAACTTAATATATTGAACAGCTGGGCATCTTAGTCTTAGCACAGATGTAATGAGTATAACAACAGCAGGTTGGTGAATGTGGAATGTTCATGAAGGAACAGGTCACCCGGGTCATCGGTCAGACATAAAAACTCATCAGGGGTGAAAAAGGTAAAGGGTATTCCACGCATTGTATCCCTCTCAAAGGCACCCATGTATCCATGAGAAGCAGTGCTGCCCCTGGCCAAATTGGGGCCTTTGACAATCCTCCTGCTGGAGCCTGAATAACATTTTGCAACTTACTTGAACTATTTACATTACAGAAATAAAAAACAGTACAAAAATATTTCACTCTACGAACACTGCCCAAAAGGCAACAAGCCACAATAAGCTTTAAAGTTTGTTTCAATGAGTTGCACCTCAGTTATTTGCCAATGTATGATGTGTCTATGACTTCTCCAATTGTTTTGTTGCATCTAAAGTTAGTTGCTATCCTCAGCACATTTTCTGAGCCGCACGCTACTTGTAACAGGTAAAGGTTTCCTGAAGCACCACACTTGCGGATCTTTCTAGAGCATATACATATCCATATTAAGAGCTCTTGTCTTTTCCGTCTCGCGAGTATTCAATTTTTTCATCTGTGGTGATTGATTGTTCCCAGCAGCTCCATCATGGCTTCCAGAGATGTGTTACACCACCTGAGGCCCCCTGCAATGCCTAGTACTTTCCATACAAAGTGATTTTACATGGGTGAAGTAGATCTTAGACAGGCTGAGATTGATTCTTACGGAAAACTTTTTCTGATAAACAGCAGACAGCAAAAACAACACTGGCCCTAATAATTCAATACATAAGAATACAAATATGCCAGAGTGGACAAGATATTGACATTGGTAGAAAGTCGGACTGTCAATCAGATCAAATCATAGCAAATCCCTTACCTTCCATCTCCACAGTGGGCTTTGCTGTGTCGTCATCTTCTGCCTTTGCAGCAGGCTGCTCTTCCTCTGCTGGAAAAAGGAGGCACAGCTCTGATGTTTGTTACGCTTTCACACAACGTCAGTGTTGTTGCAGACAGGTGATCACACACAAGTGTCCGCAAACATGATGCAATGTCTTCAAAGTGATCAGCTTTGGTTATGTGTGTATGTACTAGTATTATGATGTTCCATTTCAGTAATAGAATATTGTATGTCCAATCGCTAATGCTGCAGTCAAATCCTCCTCATTCTGTGCTGAGAGCTCAATCTGCATTGATTTAAACACTGACAGCTACATAACAACATATTGTTTATCTGTAGTGTTCCATCTCCCAGCCCTGTAATTTCAGACTGCTGGAAAACCAACAAATGTAAACATCTATGTTTCCATGCTGTCATTATGTCAGCCATCAGGGTTTCATGCTTTGAACTGACTGATTCATATCTGTCTGCCTCACTGCCCTGTGGATATGTTGCTGGATATGTTGTTTCAATTTGGAGTAAATATTTGTGACTGACCATTTTTACATTTAAAATGATAAAAAACAAACAATTGCTCCCTTAAGTACATACCTTTGCCTTTATCTTCCTCTTTATTGTTTTCAATGCCTTTGTCTTCATCTTTCTCTTCGTCGTTATCTATTCCTACGTCTTCATCTTTCTCCTGGGTTTCCTTTTCATCCTTATCCTTTTCTTGATTTGGCTCCTGGTTTCCTGAATTTCCATCTGGAGGCACACAGACGTAATATATAAATAAGTACATTTTGCAAAGGTGAATTCAGACATAGGGAATCAAAGTGTTCACATTACATCCTGCAACAGCAGAAAATAAGACCATAAAACTTGATTGCTGATCACTAAAAAAACCCATTTTCACACCAACAGATTGCTCTTTTTCAGTTTGAAAGGCAACGAAAGAAGTGAAAACATTTCCTGAAGAGAAAGTGCTCGATGTAAAAGCTCGTTTAAATGGAGATTTCTAAAATAGCTGATTTACAATACTGCTGGATATAAAGCATGTAATGGTTTGTGTTAGAATTGCATCACTGGTGTTTGCCAGGGTGCGGTTTCTAACATCTCAAACAAAACAATAAGTGCTAGTAAATAAAGAACATCATCTGCGTTAAAAGGGAATAATACAGAACTAAATGTGAAGGAACAGCGTACTTGCGGTATATACATGTGCTAATAAAGGTCTGTGAGCAAAGGTTATATTTTACAAAGTAACCAAGACCACATTATTAAATAAGATATTGATCTGTGGTCTCTGGTTTCCACCTGCAATAAACACACACATAGGCGTGAAGGATACCTCTGCTGTATGTTTGGCTAAATTAGACTGCAGGTGTTGCCCAAAGCTCTATATCTCTGCTCCTCCTCCTCCCTCTCTGTTTGTGTCTCATGAGAAAGTAATTACATAGCTCAGGTTTTCAATAGCATCCCGATGCTGCATTTGCTATAGCTCTCTCATAGAATATCTACAAAATTCATGTTCAGAGAGGCTCTATCTGTCAAATCTTCGTCAATGGAATGGGATTTGAATAAAACAAAAACAGGAGAGAGAGGCGAGGCACTGTTCACTGCCAGTATGCAAATGCAGAATTTTAATTATATACCAGCAGCGCAGAGGATATTCGGAGAAAGAGGAATGGTTCTGGCTCAAAGTTAATGCTTTCCTCTCACACACACACACATACACACTCTCAATTCACTTAAGGCTTTTCGCTGTCAGCTAAACAAAACACATCAGGGTCTCAAGGTCTAGTTGTCCAGGTTGCACAGATGCATTTTAGACTTTTGTATAGTAGTTAATCCTCTGCTGCTAACAAGACTGATCAGGTTGGATATTTAATCAAACTCGGAGCTGAAGTGAACACCATTGGTCAGCTCGTACAATTCCCATCTCCTCTAGAGTCTAGTCAGATCAATGTGTGCGCCTTCCCTCTCAGTGAGGGATATGTAGGGTAATAAAATAACTGGTAATCACCCCCCCCGCCCGTGCTGCAGCCTCGGCTTGTCACTGTACCATACCTGGGTTTTGACTCTCCATTTCCACGTCTTCATTTCCCGCAGCATCTAGAAAAGGTGGGAAACATTCGAGTTCAGTGCTTGTGCCTGGAGTCGAATTGACTCAGCTCTTAATATCATCTCAAAACAGCCTTTTCATTCCCTGTCTTTGTGTAGCTTTGTCTTTGTACTGCAGTATGAGAGCAATGGAACCACAAAGACATGCATAAATTAAGTGAGAAAAAATGTCACTTCTAAAACCATACATAATTGAGGGATTTCTTTGTTCCAAGCTTCAATGATAAGAGAACTTTTTTTTTGTTAGAGTGGAGGCACAGAGAATGGAAAGACTGAATTGGAGCAAATATAACATTCATTTTTGATGACAAATGACATCAAGAAGCAATGGAAGAGCCGAAGGGGCTGCGAACATGTGTTAATGGTCTGTGGAGCTACATACCATTGTCACCCTCTTCTTCATCATCTATTTCTTCTTTACCTGAAAAGGGAGGGAAAGGAATAATCAGCCTGAACAGGAATGATGCCGGTCGTTCAAGTTTGAAAAACAAAGCTACCAGACACACTAATGATCACAAACTGTTCGTCTCCAGACAGAGTATTCATCTTGTGAGACATTTAAAACGTCCTTGTTCACCAGCTTCACTTTCACAATGTGTTTTTACATACTGGGTTAGGAATGGGTTTTCTTAGCATGGTCTAGGTTATCTGTAAGGAAACCTAATACTGCACTTGCGATGAACAACTCCTGACACTTTTTTTAGCTGATCTAGACTTTGTTATAACCAGCTTTTAACTTCAATTGTGGAATGATCAGATGGGTTCAGTTGGTACTAATTCAAGCCAACTATTCCACAGGCTTGCACCTTACTTTTGGTACCAATTGTTCTTTAAATAATGTTTCACTTCCGATATTAGATAGAATCTTAGGTGACTGTTATAGCAGTAACGCATGAAACTGCAGTAACATTAACTTAAATGCGGCACTCAAAGAATCATCTGATTGACTTGCATCATGCATGCAAAAACCTCCCACAAGAGTCTATGAAGAAACATGGTTGTGCTCATTATACATTATACTTGCTGCTAATCCATCTCTTATTGTCGTCAGTTGAGCATCTGCCCAACTGCTACCTACCTACAGTAACACACATTTACAAAATACGTCCAATGTGTGCACAAAAGAAAGATTATTGTAGTGACATAAAACAACTTTAATTCCTGCATCATATCTGTTTCCCCATAACCCCCTGTTCTAGCTCTCACACTCACCCTTACACACACACACACACACACACACACACAAACGCACACACGCGCACACACACACACACACACACACACAAACCAATGACATTTGGGACAAATTGAGTAAATGAAAGCCATGACACCAATAAGGGAACATGCTCTACAATGGCTATTGTGCAGCTTCTATAATTGCTTTTTTAACAAGCTGTAGAGAGAAACCATTTTTTCATATTATGCAATTTTGCCGTGCACTCAGAACAATACAAATGCCAGCTTCTATTAAACGGGGAAAAGGCCAGTTCTACCAGTGCTGCGTGTTTTAGTCAAGTGCCTCTGTCCATCACACAGAAGCCGGTGACACACAGTAGATGGCAATCCTTTCTATTAATCATGACAGGCATTTTGAGATGGAGCCACAGACAGAGGGCTGGGAAGAATACTCCGTTGGGAAAAGCAGGTTAAGATGAATGCCTCGCTGGCCACGAGGTCACCCTTACTTCTGCGTATTTTTAAATGATGCATGGCTGTTGTATCTGTCCAAAGTGATCCCAAACAACTATATATCAGAAACGACAAAAGGCTGAATGTAATTTCCTCCCTGTTATTTGATCATTCGTATTTGACTTATTGAATGCAACAGCATTCAATTTGTGATAAAGGATGCTAAGGGACAGATTGTGGATACACACACAAACAAGACAACAATGGATTCTGTCTAGGGCAAAAGTGATTTATAATATCTTCAAGTTAAGATTCAATTAGAACGGTTCCTCTCAGAGTAAAATCCAAAGCAGCAGCTCCAGCAGGCGGCTCACTCATGTTCTCCAAACAGCAGGTGGCAGCATTGTCCCAGCTTTCCTTCCCCATCCTCAATGTATAAGGGTCTTCACTGTGAGGGTCTAACATACTCTACATAGAAAGGCTCCAGTTCAAGTACACACCTCAATGCTCCCCTGAATTCAACTTTGAGAAATATAGTAAATAAAAGGCAGTCGCTTGCACTCGTGTTGAGCGGGAGTCTTGAGTCAACAGCGCTGTAGTGTTTTCTTGAATACAATGTTAGTCTCACACACACTTAAATGATTTATTCATGACAACATCACATTCAGGAGTGAAGTATCACAAGTACATAAACTATTTAGATGCTGATATGCAACCTTCCCAGTGTGTCCTACTTGCATGACCGTAGAGTAAACATCGACTACAGAAGATATGTCCTGATGAAAGCATCTCATATTGAGAAATGTGAACTGGAGCAAAGGACAAAAAAGAAGAAAAAAAAGGTTGAAAAAAAGGGGGCCTTGAAAGATTCATGAGACATGTGTAAAGGAGAAAAATGGCTCTGAGATAACCAACAGCTATCCTTCAAAGATCTCTTGCACGTGAAAAGTGTGTGTGCAAGTGTGCCTGTGAGCGCTGCTCGACGGGGGGCCGGGGTGTAAAAGATGGCGTCCCATGGAGAGGCTCACTGTCTGTCCACACGTGCCGTTATTAATCTGCATGTCCATCCACGCTCCGTGCCATCTCTCACCGTCTCCCCCTCTCTTCTTTGGGTCTCTCCCAGAAATCTCCAGCATGCAAGGCAAACAGACCCAGCCAGGCATTGATTTCTGGCTCAGTGTTCACATTTGACTGTGCCCTGTGACATCCACTAATCTCACTAATACCAATCTGATATCAAATAATAGACACCGTGGGGGCTGCTTGCCAACTCAGGTGTGCTCTGAAGAGGATAGCCTCCGCCCTTGACTTCTGTGCCAGACCCCGCCTCTGTGGCTCACCCACCCTCTCCGCCTTTTTTTCCCTCCTATAGTTCGCAGCATCTGCATGCTGTGCCTGTGTTTCATGTGGATTACATCACAACACACACACACACACACACACACACACACACACACACACACACACACACACACACACACACACACACACACACACACACACACACACACACACACACACACACACACACACACACACACACACACACACACACACACACACACACACACACACACACACACACACACACACACACACACACACACACACACACACTCACACACAGAGTTAATCTGTGACGCTCCTTTGCAAATACACTTCAGGGGGTTATTTGTAGTTGACAAGGTCTCTCTGAACTACTGTTTCTCATATTGGAATAACTCCCCTGTTGGGTTGGTCTAAAAGTAAATATAATTAAAATGCTAGTTTAATTACTTTTGTAATATACTGGCTTCTTATTATTTACCATGGTTGTTTACTTATTTGATTTAACTGTGTGTTTGCATATTTTATCAAATATGTTACTCTTCATGTGTATGTCTTTCATCTGTACTGCCCTTTTGCTGTTGTAACAAATAGAGGATTTTTTATTTGAATTTATATAGCACTTTAAATAGCTATGACAAAAGCAATATCAAATCAAATCAACACTTATAGGATAAGATAAAAATACATCTAAAACCGTCACATTAAATATGATATGAGACGTGGTGTTAAAATAGAGTATACACATTATCACAGTTGACTGTTTGTGTTAATTGTAGGCTTTTTACCGTTTGTATTCCTTCAGTCCACTGAGGCTGAAGAAGCATTTAGCTGTTGCAAAGTTGCAGCAGTAGCAGTTGTTGGACAAAGCAACCCTATAATTACCTGCAGTCCAACAACCAGTGTATTTATCATGGGACAGCGTTGGAGAAAGCCTTAATGCTTCCTCTTCATCAGTACTGTGGCTAAAACCCCCTCATGTCTGACCCATGGACTGGGGAGAGTGAATCCCCCGCGGAGTGAGATGGATCACACTGAGGCATATTGACAGACACTCCACCCGGCTGTGCTGCAGTGTAATTTATTCTAAAAAGTGCTCCACATATTCACTATAGCAAATAGGTGACCTGCTTCCCCAGCTCTATAGACAGAATGGTGAAATATAGTGTGTTTGGGAAAACAGAGGTGGTATTAGGAGAGTCTTATAATGTCTGTCACACTGAGCTGACCGTCTGTTTTTCCAGCTCACTATTCCTCTGCTTTGTGCTATATTCGCCATCTGAGTGTTTCCTATGATTAATCTTTTCTATGTGCTACATCGAACCAGACCTAACCTTTACAGTGCAGGCAGTACACAATCATTTCATTCCTTTCCTGTGAGAGAGGTTGTCTCAAGGACTGAGTGTTCCCATGCTAGAAAGCTGTGCCAAGGCCTTTTGTGAATGGATTAGTTACTATTAAGCTGCCAGGCCTGATAAATTAGGATTTATAAAGATTATTACAAAATACTTATGCCCTCCTAATGCTGGTGATTGAATTTGTGAATCATATTGAATTACTGCTGTGGATTATGGGAAGGTATGTTGAACAGGAAAAACGACTTATTGTGTTTTGTCTAACAACACAGAGTGTATTGACGCCCTTGAAGTGTCTGCGTTATGTAGTCCAGCCTTTCACGATCAGCCGAGCGCCCATTTCCCCAAAGAAAAAAACATGACTGCTATCTTCAAAAATCCCCCACAACCTTAAGGCTTGAAGACAAATGGATGGTGTACGATTTTAATTGCCTACTAACACCCTCCAGTGTAAGAATCTAATTATCTTTGGTCCATCGTATCGTAAGAAGCCTATAACTGTTTCAATATTACACATCCAAACGGGCTGAAACGGCAGAATAGCCAGATAATGGCTTCTTAAACAAGTTTGCCTCTAAGAAAACATTCTTTTAAAAAATGACCAAGCTTCCTCCTCTATTCATTTCCCCAAAGAGCATTTTGGCATGAGAGAGCAAGACATTACCGACCAAGAAAACACTCCATTACTTTACACACACAAAACAAATAACTTGTGTGAATAAATATCAATGCACGATATATCCTTTAACAGACCTTTTCCTGGGCATGTCCGAACATGCAGTCATCATTAATAAAGTTGCAATTCAAAACAAACACACATGCCTGCAAACACACACACTCTCACAAAGAGTCTTATCTCTGTTATTGTCTTCACTCTCTTCCTTGGTTGTGGATTTTGTGGATTGTGAAGTGTTATCTATTAATAAACAAAAATAAATGGTGATTTACAGAGGGGGAGTGATACGTCGTTATCCCCGCACACCATCAGGATGTGAAGGGCGTGACATCATGTCAATTGGAACAGTTAGATGAGAGATGGTGTGAATAAAAGACTTTGCAGCAGAGATTATTCTAACTTGGCCATCCTGCCTCGGGCTGACCGCGAACACAAGAGCCTTTGGGAGAACTCAATAGCTCCTGCTCTTTTCTGTTTTATACATGCCTAACAAAGAAATCGTGACTCCTGTGGGAGAGAGGGAAAGATTGTGAGGCTTTGAGACCAACTCCAGAGAGCTGTCTGAGACAAAAGCACCATTCCATGTGAGAATGGCAGTCATTCGAACCTTTGAATGAGCTCCAGGCTGCACTGATTCAAACTCTGGCTGATGGAGCAGAATAAAAGGCCAGCGCTTGGCACCGGTGTGAAGGCCCATCAAACAAGGCCAAACTGGACCGGGGCAGATGATACAACAGAGCGAGGAATTATCAGGGGTTATTTCAGTTGGCTTGATATGGTCTGGTGCTATGTTATTATAGAGTATGCCATGTGAAATAGCTGGAGAACAACGCGACAGATAACAACATAGTCTGTCATGCGCTAAGAATTTGGACAAACTCTTAAATGCAGTTCCTCTCAGCCAAGTCTTTATGATTTGGCCATTACGTGGTGCACATTGTTTCACTCTGAAATATCACATTTTACAGTGCACTTATAAAACAGCCCTTTTATGTTCACCCAAAATGGAATCTCATTGAAAACACAGATGCGTGTAATTGGCAAATCACGGGGGTAACTTTTGGAGGGAAAACATTTTCATAGCACCCTGGGTTCTACATCTACCGTAATCTGAACACTTCCTTGGACAGACAGTAAAACTAACATTGCTCTCTGCTTGGTTGGTTGCACGTGTACAATGACGTCTTCCAGAGACACAGCATTCAGACCTGGCAAGACCATGCTCTGAATCCCCACGTTCTCGTAAAGAAAACTTGCCAACAGGTGCTTTATAAGACCTACTGTACCTCGGAGAAAACTGCTAGAGGGAGCACTGTACATATTCTCAAACATTATATACAGTTTATTTTGTCTACCAAGGAAAAATATGAGCAACTGCTGCCTATCGGATCTATTGCTCTCGCTATAGAACAATATATTTACACTTTCATGAGGTTTTCTGTTGCAAGTAATTGCTTATTCAGGACATCAGTGAACAGACAAATGTCAATAGTTTATCCCGATAAGCAGTATCTGGGAGTTTCAGGCCGTGTGCCAAGATGGTGCAGTGATAACAGCATTATGTACTGGCAGTTGTGTTTCTGCCGTCGCCTGGCGCATGCTGCGGAGAGATGCTGCTCTGCTGTTTTTTTGTCACGCGCTTTACAGCAGGTGGTCTAAAGCTATTGTGCATGTAAGCCAGATGAAGAGAATGGTGTTGGGAATTAGCCGTGGATATAAGCTCTTGTAATGTAATGTACCTGACATGAAGTATTTTTAACTGCAATGTGTCAGGCCCAGGATATAACTTGTCACCGAATGAATAAACATTCAATTTCATCTGCTGCATAAAACCTAGCGAATCACTGTCGCCTGCTGAAGCTACGCCACTCACTCATGTGTGCTTTAATGGAGGTGTTAAGGTGAAAAGGCATCCATGAAATGTTCTGTCACTCACCTTCCTTCAGCTGCTCCTCTGTAACCTCCATGTCATTGTCTGGTTGAGGGGGAAAAAGATAGCGTGTCAAAGCATGCTATTTTATAATGTACGATACAGCGAGTCATCACAACTCTTTGCCCTGATTATAATGTTGGAGCACAGTATTTTGATGCCATACTGCTGTGTACCTTGCTTAAACATGTCAACCAATAAATCATGCAGTGTTTCCTCACAATGCGATTGAAATATGGTACAAAAAGATAGAACTGTTCTGTCACAAACACAAAAAAGCTCGCAGTTTAAACTCTCACATTTCCTCGTTCCACACCAGCTGCTATACTCTGAAATCTTAACAACCACCATCACAGACTACCTAAATTCCCCCAGCAGACGGCCTTGGACTTGGATCTGGTGAGTTATTACACCAAATGACTGTGAATGTGGGTGCGTGTGTTTGAAAGGGGGTCACATTCATGAGACATTCTTTTTCAATTAAACCTATACTGTTAGGCTCAGCATACATTTCCCAAAAGCTCCCATTTCCTCAAATTACAAGGACTTCAGGCTGGGGTGGATAACTGCGCCCAAAAAAAAAAAAACCTTAGATTTTTTCCTTCCTTTCTCTGTACATCTATTGTGTGAGACAGACTGAGTGAAGTGAAGGTGTTTCTGGGTGGATGAGTTGAGGTGCACAGTGGGAGATGAGAAGCAGGCGTTGGATGCTACCTTAGGAGGAACTGCGGTGTAAGAGAGAAGTGAGGAGAGCTAGAGAGTCCTGCTCCCGGATCATACACAAATCTCAGCATGCCTCAGCTTTCTTTGATTCAAGCCACTGTATATACAGTATGTGTGTGCTTGTGTTAGTATATGCATTGTTGGATGTGTGACTGTATATTTACGACTGTATTTGTGTTTTTATGGCAGTGTAAGAGCCTGAGCAATGATTGCGCTGTGGTTAACAAGCACAAGCAAGTGTTAGCTTTGATGAAAGGCTGTTGTCATCTGGTCTGTAGAAGTGTAACCATCAGAGCTCCCTGTGGATCCGGCGACAGACCTTTCTTTTGTATAACACTGAATAAAAGGGTACAGTGCATTAATCTAACCCTGCTTGGGGAAACAAAGGACGGCCCACTGATATACTATAACAATAGTGCAAGAAATGAAACATAGGGTGTCTCGGCTACTGCCACATGCTACAACATTATTACCACTGCTCAACACTGCTGTCAACACAGGAAATGTATGTGACTATGTCTAGAATAATAATGTATGACACTGTCATTTCTCTCTAGGGGTTAAGACAACACATTCAGACAAATGATTCTTACTAGATGGCATGCTCTATCTTTGGATGAACAACAGCTATTATGTTATGAAACAGGTGATACGCTTTTTCAATAGTTTGACATTCAGGGAAAGAAGATAATTTGCTTTCTTTCTGAGGGTTAGGTCGATGCGCCTCTGTCATTTCTGCGTGCTAAAACACAACTTTAGCATCACTAGCTCAAAAGCTCTGTAATGAACACGTTACATGGCCTGGCTGATCCACTGGTTGCCTGGTTACCTCGCTGTGAGTACTGAACTTCAAGAATCACTACATCCCAACAAAACAAAATCAAACTACAACTTGTTTGTACACTTCGCTAATGTCTGGATTAACATGTATTTAGTGAGATTTAGGAGCACTTAAAGGCACGTTTTGTTTCGTCTTAAGACAGCCAGGCTACGTTTCCTTGTTATTCAAGTATATGCTTTGCTAAGCTAGAAATTGTACCAATCCTCATATTTAACTCTCGGAAAGATGTACTCATGTTTTCATCAAAATCTTGACAAGAAAGTGAAATAACTATTCCTCTAAGTTACATTTTTCCATCTCATGTTGGGCTTTATTGCCCTTGTGTGGGGACAGTATGTTGAAAAGGTTCTTACTGTAGCTGCCGGCTCAGTTGCCTCCATGTTGAGAGCCGTCTGAATGCAATCCCTGCCGACACTCTAAATTCTGCATAGCGCTCCTTTAAAAAAGGTATAACAGCGAAGCATGTTCTAATTGATATATTATCTGAATGTAACTATGTCTGGCCACGCCGATAAGCAGTTAGCAGGACATGCACTTGTACATTTTGAACATGTAATGTACAAGCATGCACAAGCATGTGACCATTTTCCCATATGATGAGCTCAACTGAATCCTCATATCTGCCAAAGCTGACTGAGCCACTGTGCTTTTTCAGAATCACATCACTAACACACCATGGCCTCCTCATTTCCCAGCCCTGAGGGATAGCCTCGTGAAAGCAAGTCCTGAAGCCCTTCAGATCCTTCGTCCACATATTACATGTGTGATAGAAGCGTGTGAATATCACAGCTTTACTTTTTCTAAAGCATTGGGGAGGGTTGTGGGGGTACTGCTGTTATGGAAATGTGGGGATGGGTGTGTGGGTTGTGGGGTTTTGAGTATAAAGTGTATAAAGCGCCAATAAACCAATGTCAATTTGAGAGTCAGTGAAAAAGTGGAGATTGTAACGGGCCCTGCAGATCTGTGGGCTGTTAATATTGTCAGCACTGTGGCTGATTGAGGAGAAGAAGAGATGGAGCCCAGCTTGTGGGCAGCCACCCGGATCATATTAGTGAAGGAGTGTACCCAGAATCAATTTAAACACGCTTTTACCCTCTACAACCACAGCTGCCTCACTGCTTCCATGCTCGCAAATAATACGTGCCAAGGCAAGCATGTGGTCAATCACAATCTATGAAACCAATCTGAATACTTAATCGAATCATGCCATGTGATTAATTGCAATGATTAAGCTCTGTCGATTAATGGTTAAACCTTTTCTAAAAATACAACCGTGGTAATTAATATTATTAATAATAATGACATGACATTTTGAGGCAGCTTGTTGCAGTGCGTGTATTCTCCAAAAAGTATGCAACCTCTGATGGTCCTCTTAACCAGACCTTTGAGATATGTACAGTTTATGGCTTCTCAGGGTAATGAATAGGTCATTTTATCACTTGTTATGAGCTCAGTTGGCGAGGTGGGTAATTAATGGTGTATGGTACAACAGAGGCTAAACCTTTACCTATAGTTGCTGTGTGTATAGGCTTGTTTGTTTATTTGCATATTTCATTATTAGTGCCTTAGAGGCCTATTTCGCACAATATATGAAGACGTATAATAACAGAAGTGCTCCCTCAGCTGGCGTACGTTAAAAAGCCCTTTGTCTGTTTGTGAGAACTCCATTAGTACTCACCATACAGCAGCTCCGTTCTGTTGGGACTTGGCACAAAACGCCCTGTTCTAATATTTTGCACTCGACTAGGTCAAACTTCTTGTTTTATATGTATGTTTGCACGTCAATGTGCCTTTTCATGTAGGTGTGCATGAGTATTCCTGTCAGCAGCGGCCATTTTTAAGTTTCCTCCTTCTGCAGAGATGTAACCATATTGTGGCTCTCTCATAGTGACAGCTTGTGGGAATGCACATTGTAATAAAGCAATTTCCTGTATGCAAATGTCCCGTTTACACGTTCCTGCTCCAGTCATTGTCACTTGACAGATTGCTTGAATATGAGAAAAGCTATACAATGAAAAATGAGAATAGTAAGACTTCAATCAAAAAAACTATTTTGTGCCGACTCTCAGCCACAAGACATGCTGGAAGCTGATGTCACGGGGAAGATCCTGTGTTTCAAATGATAGAAAGATCAAAGGCACTATTCACAACAGCTCCATAACAGCGCGCTGATAGGAGGCCGTGGAGAGGCTCCTCCTTGATATAATGAGGAAGAATGACAAAAAAAGTAGAGTGATGACATAATGGGATAGTGGCATGGGCACAAGGAGATTTATAAGAGAGAAAGAGGGAATATGGAGGGTCTAGAGAGACAGAAATGTCTCCAGCCTCTGTGTGATGCCTTCAGTGTTGCCGCAAGATCTGCATGACTGTCTGTCTCTAGCAGAGAGGATGATGGGATGTTCAGAAAGCGTACGAGCACACCTGCAGAGCTAATTCACAGCCTCTGATTCACCACTGCCACTCTGCGCCGGCTAAATTCAAGTCTTCTCACACTACGGCGCTATGCATTCCCTGCATGGTGCAATCATACCAATCAGCATTTCATTCTTTAAAGCACACCTATCAACTCCAGTGAACCCATTCAAGTGGTGCAGCCTGGCTGGATAAAATCTATGAATTCACTCCCTTATTTGTGAGTCGAGTCAAAGCAGCGGTATTTTAGTTTGAATATTCCTCATGCAGCATCTTAAAAGAGCTTTTGTTTTCCTAGAGAGAGGATGGTTGGAGCTTTGAAGCACATGAGGTGAAAGACGGAGCAGGTGTAGGCGAGCATGGCTTAAAAAAAAAAGAAGACGCATCTGCCTCACTTCAGACAATGACCCTGAGTGGGATGGTACTGTTATCAAGCCACTTAGACTATAGTGGAATTAATATACTAGCCCACACGGACACAAAGGAGCAGTGACAAAGGTGTCTCAGACCCTGGAGGTCAAAGGGCATGTGACAGGCGCGGGGATGTGATGAGGAGAAGCGCCGGGCTGGCATCATGGTGCGACCCCACTTTTAATCACAGACTGACTCCTTCCTCCCTCATTAGCAACTCATCACATGATGGTAAACAATAGTTTTTAAAGAGTTATCTTATAATAATAATAATAATAATAATAGAGTGCTCAGAACTTTTCCAATTCCCCTTTGTTGGAGAGCCTGTTGTTTTGTCTCCTCTCTGTTCAGTCGTGGAGAGATATAGGGCATGTGTCCACTGACAGCACTTGTAAATGGCAGGAGTGATAACTGGAGAACAACAGCTCCAGATTCTCATCTCAGAGCACTAATATGATGAGACGGGTGCTGGGTGCACAGGGGCAGGCATTATAATTAAGGTCTGTCCCCAGAATGTAATCTGTTAGGGTAGAGGCTGGGCGTGGAGCGGGATAGATGACGGCAGCGCAGGGGGAACAAAACACTCTCCATCTGGGAGCAGCGAGATGAAGGCCTGAGAGCCGGTATTCCTTCGGGGAGATGGGGAGAGAAAAGTGAGGTAAATGGGAGGTAATGCTAGGCCTCTTTCAGATTCCCAGCCATTAAACCCAATTCTCCATGGAGCCCCCATCAAGGCCGGTGACTGCTCCTGGCCCCCCGAAAAAAAGATGATGGCGTGAATGGGGGGAGGGAATTGTCAGAGGGACAGAAAAGAGAGTGGGAGTAGAAGATAATGGATGTTTGTTTATTTCACATGCACAATTGAGGGGCAGTAACCAAGGACAATCATTGGTTGCTATGCATCCCTGAATTGTAAGTCCTCGCAGGAGACGTTCTGTGCCGAGGACTATTATTATAGTCAATCAAATCTGACATTAAAGTCTCATCAGAATATCAACAGTTATGTAAAATATCAGCTTGCTTGTTCGCTGGCAAGAAGTCTAACTATTCTAATCCTATTAAGGCAATCCATAGAGAACCTGACGTGTGTTTTACCAACTGTCAGCATAAATTCTCACTGTTAATCTCCCAAATGGCCGTGCGGGTGCATTGACTTTGTTTACATTTGAAGGTGTCAACCGAGCCTGACGGGTCGCTATTCTACTGCTTCCAGAAACAACACATCTCTCTCTCCAGATGTGTTCTTGGAAAAATAAGGTGGCAAAGCCGCCTGGGTCTATACAGATGGTCAATGAGGTATAGGTGATGACATCATATATTAGGAATACCTTGTAGAAACACAACATACAAATCTTTCATCTATTCAATAGCTAGTTAAACCCAATACATCAATATGGTAAGAGAAGATATGGTTTTATTGTTCTGCAATCCAGTCGATAGGAAGTAAACACACATACCTGGGAAAATGACAGACATCTTCTTCTTGTAGATGGCAAAGTCGGTCTCGAGGAAGACACAGAAAATGACCCTTGTGATCTGCACAGGAGGAAAAAAAAGAGATAGGAAAGCAATAAGTGTCATTGCAAGAATAGACTCTGGTGAATTACATGACAGAAATAATAACTGAAAATGTTTTGATGTGATGATAATATGCAGCAGCAGGACATAATCATAACCATCCAGAAGTCTAATTAGTTACCCTCCCTATCGAGACCCCCAAACTAGACCCTCTGAGACAGATTTCCAGAATAAGCATTATTGATGAATGGGCCTAGGTATATAAATTGTAACAACATGAAATTGCAAAATGAAATATAGGCAATGGAGAATACTCTCACCCGAATGGAAAGTTACAGGAGAAAACGGCAAGTAAAGTATACTACTCGCATGAAGACATGATTAAATGTTGAAGAGAAGATTATTGGGTTTAATACGTTTCATATCAAACATTAGACAAATGTCATGAGAAAACATTCGGTGAAATTGAAACTTTTAATGGGTGACTCAAAAGTGTTTGAACAACATTTAAAACAACAGAGAAGAAGGGTAGCTTTAATAAAAAGGTAAAATAGCTCTAACTTAAAAAAAAACCCTTTCTTAGATCTGTATTTCTTATAAATGTAAAGTAATGTCAGTTAAAGCTTTGTAACAGTTAAGCTGTCACCAACAACTGTAATATCATACTGTACAAGTTGTTACATTTTGTAAGTTTAGGTTGATCACATGCAGAGGTGACTTCTTAACAACGCTGAAAATAAATCTATGTACTGCGTATGATGGCTGCTAAGACAAAGTACTCTTCTGCTACAGTAAGTTGGTGAAGAAAGGTCAATAAAATTCAGTAAAGGCTGTTATAAAAACGTTAATACAGTATCTCAGTGGGTGTTGAGGATCAATGCTGGTCACCCCTCTGTTTCCTCGCTGTCGACTGAGATTTCAAACGTTCTAATCTCCCAGGATGACCTGGCTCTCTACTCACTGCTGATGCTCCAGAGCCCCCTGTGCACTGAATCATTTTTGGATTATCTGAAAGCTGCAGCTTTACACATCCAAACACTGTTGCAGTGTTGGTATTTTATATTTCTCTGAAAACCAACCTTTCGATGTGGTAACTGTTAACCACAAAGTTAGCTTAGCTGTTGACGCAGCAGAGTAAATTAAGTCATACAATTAAAACACATTTTATTTAGAATGTATTACACCTTCAACAGATTAGAAAGCACATATGTCTCTTTCTGTTTGATGAACAAAACAAACAGTAAAACAAATCGCTGAACAAGCTTATTGGGTCTTATACATGACAAGGAGTTTATAATTACAAAGTGTTACAAAATAATTAATTTTCAGCATGCTTGAGTTATTTTACCTCAATCTTTTGGCTGAGTAGAGATTTTATAACCATTTTGTTTTTCACCCTCAGGGCCAAAATCATTCAAGTATTCAGTTTAGCATAAATAGGATTTATTTTTCCCAAATACTGAACAATTGTGAAGTGAAAAAAGGGAGCATACAGGTTTTGATTTAATTTGTATTTAAATATTTGCTTTGAGTTAAAAACATTATTGGCACTAGTAATTCACATTCAGTAAAATAATTTGCTTCGAGCTTGTGTAATTCTCTTTAATATATATTTTATATTGCTGTTGAAACATATCCTTCATACAACAGGATGTATACATTTTTTATAACGCATTGAATATATGATTAACACGTTGTATTATACTGTACCTTTACCCAATACATATTTTACTGAAAAGAGCTTGAAAGCAGCTAATGTTAGTCAATTGAACCTCGCTCCATTGAAAGTAATTAGTCATTAGCTTTGTTATTTTGCCAAGGACTGTGCTTTTCACCAGCTAATGTTACCAGCTCTTCTGCTGAATTCAACAGGATTGTTTTGTTAAAAAGCATTTAGTATTCACAGAGAAAATATAGCAAACTTCTTTTGACCCTTGATTTTTCTCCATCGTGGATCAAGTCTCAAACAACTCAAACATGATATAGCTTACTTATGGCATTAGGTCCTGTGCATGTTCAACACTAAAGTCAGAAAACATGGATTAAAGTAATGGACAGTCAAAGAGGCATGCAATTCAAAGCAACCGGACAACTTGGAACCATTGCTCCATTATCACCCGCACATCATGCTCTCTAGTTCTTTCTGAAGCCCAGACACAGCTTACGCCAATAACTACGGAATAACTAGTCATGCAATTTATTCAATCAACAATTTAACAACCGTGTGTTATAACTCATGCTGTGAACAGGGAGACAATGGTCAGTTTATTAGCGCTAGTATAAAGCTATCCTCTGACTGTGTACACTTTCCATACTGTGATAATATGTCTAAAATTAGCCATATCACCTCAAGGTCACCTCTTTCACTTTCACCCTTCTCCAGAGATTCTAGATGTGCAGGCATCAGTCACAGTCACAGAGATGCATTACACACCACGGCAGCAGATAATCGCTTGACTGAATAATGGCAATTTTACACAACAGACATAATGGCGGCTATCCGTCCCCCATCCTCCTCCATGCAGGATATTGATGTTATGGCGGAATAAAGGGAGCTCACCAGCTTCAGCCCCATTCCTGACCCTGCCCAACACAAGGATCTGATTCAAAGAGGCACCCTTCTGGTGCTCATACACGCATATATCTATAAATAGTTTATGATCCGCTCTTTGGAGTAAATGTTAGGAGCTGCATCCAGGATGGTAACATTTTATTTTGCTAGATGTCTTGGGGGGGCTTTGTTCATAAATGGTAGACTCACTTCTCTCAACCCCGATATAAAAAATGAAAGAAAACTTTAAGTCTCCTTTGAAGTTGTGGGCTCGCTGACAAACAGATTGTGAGACAAGTGATAATACACCAAGATAGTGCATACCACTGGGTGCTGGAAGGCCACAGGACAGCCGCTCCCCAGGAATTTCCATTACTCTTTTATGGAGCTCCATTCTAAAACTGACTGCCCACTGTGAAACAGGATGAAGAATGAATGTATGCCTTTCATCGAAACACACGGAATAGTCCACACACACACACACACACACACACACACACACACACACACACACACACACACACACACACACACACACACACACACACCACAACACACACAACACACACACACACACACACACACACACACACACACACACACACACACACACACACCACACACACACACACACACACACACCACACACACACACACACACACACACACACACACACACACACACACACACACACACACACACACACACACACACACATCATTGAAGTTGATTACATTTCACTTATGTTCTGTTTGATGTGATAAAGGAAAGGAGAAATATAACTGAGTGAACAACTTGTCCTGAAACAAAACCAAATGGAAAATCTTAGTATCCATGTCATGTAGACTCTTCCCTCAGGCTTTCTCTCTGTCAATCTTTGTGTGCTTTCTGTTATTGCATGTCTCATCCTGCAAGGCTTGGGCCCGTTCTTTTATTCCACACATCAGAAACACATCGTAGGGTCTTTGACAGTTGTCAGTCAAACCGGATTGCCAAATAAGAACCAGTAATTCATTGAGATTCTGTGTGTATACACACACTGCTGGCCAAGGTTTCTCAACCGTGTTAAAGAAACAAATCCAACAGAGAAGATGTATCTCTGACCTTTTCTTTGTTAAAGTATATTCCACCAGTCTGTACTTAAAAAAGCTTGTTCTTTCAAAGTCAACCAGACGGCTTATCTCCTTCATGCACACGCACAGCGCATTATAGTCATAGATGGAGAAACTATTAATAAGTGGAGAGAATTATCCGGAAAACTAGTCTGACATTTTTTTAATAATGTACAGTTCAGAAAACTGTTGGTTTATAATTATGTAAAACTATATTTCATTCAGATTGCAAAAGAGAAAACATGACACACAAAATCAAATTATACTGAATGAGTATAATTATTTTCAAATGTGAAATATATAAATTAGCACCACAGGGAGAAAAAAACCCTACTCTTTTGGCCAATAAGGTTGAAAGTGAGTCTGATTTAAATGAGCACTGAAGAGTATAAAATGTAACTAAATACATAATTTCTGATTTTAGAAGAGAGGCTTAACATTTGGTCTGAGGCTGCGAGTTGTGTGTGTGCCTATGTGTGTGTGTGTGTTTTTAAATGTGCACCCCGCAGCCGCCAAGGTTGAAAAAGTTAATGGAAGACTAATTAGAAAGCTGGGATCACTGCATGCAAGCCTGCCTAGTCATTACTCATCCCTGATTGGAGGGCCTTTGCCAAAGGGTGAGCACAATATGACTGGGTCCCCCGGCTGCATGTGCGGGATGCTCGCCTCGACAGAAATGTGTTCTGCACAATAAGGTGTGGGACAGTGTAGTTGGCCTGACCTGTCGCTCTTTGAGACTGAGCCAATTTTGGGAAAAGCTAAAAATTCAATGGAGTCAAAGTAAGGCAAGAACATCAAATGTTTACTTGCCTTTTTTTTTAGATTTTCCTTTATTTGGTACAAATCAAAGTAATATTTAGAAATGTATATCAATTTCATCCCTGATGAGTCCTAGACAATATGTGAAATTGTTGAGTGAGCTTCAACAGTGCGGCGAGGGCATAATTTATTTTCTATTACACCGTAAAGACTTAAATTTATGGTGCAGACATTATTAGTCAACACTAATGCTGTACCACGGAATATGTAATGATCCAGGTTGAATCTCTCATTTCAATTATTTCATTTAAACCCTCTGCAGAACACATTGTTCATCTACCCTAATCAATTCCAAACCAATGCCTCTTTGTTGTAATTGGGTTCTGAATATATGATATGTTGCGACTCATTAAAATGATAATGCCAGGGGTGCAACCTACGCCTCTGTAGCTCATTTGCATGGCACATGAATTGCAGAAAAACAAGATTTGGGAGTGGCAGTTTGTGGCAGCTGCATGTGCCACAGTGTTAATGAGAAGCATGAAACAATATGAAAGTGTCCTTTCACCACATTTTTTGTTTCCTGAAATACTGT